TTGGGAGACTGCAATGCTTGTAGTGCTGACTGACTATGCAAGAACCTACCTGCCCCCCTCCTCCCAAGATATTTTATTGCTCATCTTTTCTTAAAAACAGAAGAAGCTTAGGTAGAATTAGAAAAATCGTAGATCATATACAATTACACTTGCTGCGGTCTGTTTATGTGTTTCTCCCTTGCCACTTAGTCCGAAAATTCATAACCCCGTCGAAATTTATCTGCATCAAAAATTTTGATGGCGCAACTTGCGTCATGAAAACCCCTTCTGGGCACCTCTGAACAGAAGAACAGTAATTTAGATCTCCAACAGTTATATTTGGTTGAATTTGGAGAAAATTCTGAGGTATTAGGATTGCTTCAGTTAACTGACAGAATATTCTCCGAAAAAATCTCTCTCCAAATCCTGTAATTTTTTGTATTTCTATAACGAATCATATTTAAAGGTTTTAAAGAATACTAAAAACGAATCTAACTACTTTTTTTAATGATTCCCACTGTCAACAATAGAATTGAAAAAAATACGTTTCATTTTCATTTCTACATTTATGATAAATAACGAAGGCGAGAGTGTTTCCACACAGGTGGATTCGTTCTGTAAATGACAACTTCTACATTGAGATATGATGACATTACAGAACTTATCCCCTGAATGTATACAATAGCCTTGCTTATTTATACGACAGCTAAGAACGGTAAGTAACAAGAAACCAAACTAAGAAATACGTGACAAGCAAAAGGTATGAACCAGTGTCACAGGATGGCAAGAGTTGGCGTGGGAGGGGAGGGGAGGGGGAGACCTGGAATGGGAGGAGCCAGGATCGGGGGAGGGGGAGATCAATAGAACAGCCACAATTCTAGCCACCCACGCATCCGCTCTTCTATCGTTAGCGTCGTCCAAATTATTATATCTTTAACTACATAATAAAAATTATAACGTCAAGGCTTTGCAAAATTATATATTGTTAAAAAATTACTTAATAATAAATATACCAACTTAAGAGATCATATACAGTGAAAAAACATGTACTAAAAGAAAAATCCTGGAAAACACTGCAGTTTCTTCTCTAATAGTCCACAGTACAGATCTCTTTCCATCAAATTATTACTTTATTTTATCGAAACTTGTAACTCTTATATTCTCAAAAATGGAGAGTTTTCAATCTGGAGTTCGATCAATTTTGTCCATTTAATGAACTAGAAAATCATGTACATCTATTTGCTTTCCACTTGAATTGTAAGGATAATAAATCAAGAAAAAGGGTGTCCTACAAAAATATTGGACCGTTTGGCGTAATCTCTACTGCCAACTTGTCAAAATAACGAGGTAATGTAGGCCAATAGACCCAACATTTTCGTGGCACACCTTTTTTTCTCCATTATTTGATCAAATTATCTTACGATTCAAATGGATAGCAAACGGATATACATGAGTTCTTGTTACTTAATTAAATTACTTAATTTAATAAGAAAACGCTCCATTTCTGAAAATTTTGGTAGATAAAAAGTTGTAAATTACGATAAGATGAAGGTATTTACAAAGTTTTAGACGGATGTTAATAATTCGATAAAAAGAGTGTATCGTGGACAAGAGGCATAAGAATAAAAATGTGGCTTAGCTCCTATTAGAATAAACTGACAAATAAGACCCATCCCCAATGTCCTTACATACAGAGTGGTTGGTATGTATGCCCTGAATCCATCTGAATATTACGTCAAATAGGTGACTTGATTTCTCCGCTTCTCCGCCTGTTTGACAGGAGATACTTTATTGTAAATTTTGACTCTATTACTCCTTATCATTGGTCAATCGATATTTTAAAACAGGAGCTCTACGAGTGGTACCACCACAGGATGGAAGTGGTGAAGTTCGTCATGCGGCAAGGTGAGTTAGATCTGATATCCTCAAAACATTGGACCCCCACAGTTGGAAGGCCAAAAGGAAGATATCTTGATGTAGAGACAGCGTATTCTAGACTGTTTCTTGACAACTCCAACACACAAGACAGAAGAGTCTTCCGATGGAGGTGTAAAATTCAATAATATATCGTATAATATAAACAAGAAACGTTAAAGGGTAATTGAAAGAAAAAAAAAATGGGTGCTTGGTTAAAAGAATAATTAACTTAAATTTTTTAAACACATTTTGTATGTATCAATTTTTTTCCTTGAATCAGAGAATGTGCCGTAAGACAAGCTGACATTTCCGGCGAAAAATTTCGAGACCATTGGTTTTCAAATATTATATCTGATAAGAGATTTTACGCAAAAGATCTAAAACTTTAACATAATATATTAAAATTAGTCGAATCAAAACGAACATTTTAACTACAATTACGACATTTAATGCCCAACTATTATTGAAAATAGACATCCAAATTTCGTTCCATTTATATAAAAACAAAATAACTAATCAATACATAAAAACAATGAATATTATTTATTTTGAGACAACCAACATAATTCAATTATGCTACAGAAGACTATTTTCCCCACTTTTCATAGACATTTAACTTATAAAACGAATATAAAAAATGAATAAAATTTACAATAACAAGTCACTAGTCAGGATCAGTTAAAAACAGAATTACGTTTTTAAAAAATTTTCTATCATAATGTAATTCAAGAATTTCAAAATTTCTAATCCATGAATAGGTTTTATATGAGTTTACATGGGCAAAAGCTATTGATAATAAAGATTAATTTTATTTATTAATATATATCAAGGTTACGCTCCGAAAGATAAATTCTTGCCCTTAACTTAGTTTTACGCCATAATATTTTTCTCCATTTCAAGATATAAAAATAAATCATTTTATTTCAATGAACCAACTGAAAATAGAAACATTACATACAGCAAAACTTCAAATTGTTAAATTTGGTACATAATGATCCAAATTGCAATGGACAAAAAGCTAACCCCTAATCAGTAATTTTTAATAAGAATATACTTAAGATTTATTATATAATATACATCTATTAACATTTTAAAAATATATATGGAAAAACTGAAAGACCTTGAAAGTACTGAATCCGTCAAGGGTTTATAAAATTCCAAAAAAAATTTTTGAAAACTTAACCCTGTACAAACTTATCAAGTCCCGGACACAGGACATTATAATCATCAAAAAAATAATGACTACCAACTTAACCGATTAATTAAAGATGTGTAATACAAATAGTAACTAAGAGTTTGTTTTTGAAAAAATAGTGAATTATTATTAAAACAAACATAAAGATCAAACCATTTTAGACCAAATCACAAGAATAATTACTATATGATTATTTAAAAATAGAATATGATTTATTTCAATTTACACATAAATTATAGGGCAAGTTTCCAAACTTATCGCTAATCCAGTAATGGATTTTCGATGCTCATCAATGATCTTAACGCTGAGTTTAGCAACTTGCCAACCGACATTGACAAGTTCAGAAATTTGTCCATATACTATGATAACTGTGCTAGAACAATGGGAGGTATCAATATCTTCTAAAATAAATATATACCCCATAATAAAACCAAATAAATAAGTTAAACTTGTAAAAATTTTTTAATGTAAAATGATTTATTTATTGTATCAAAGTAGTAAACATTTTGTTTAGAATTATGAAAACTGAAAAAAAAAGTACTTCCAGCAGGGATCTAACTCATTTATTTTAGAATAAACCAAGCATATGAAGATGGTAAATCTAAAATATTAGACGATTTTGAGATTGCTACACTATAGTAATAATCAAATGTCATATACTTTTAATTAGATAAGTATAATGTTTTAATACATAAAGAAATACATTTAAGTATTATCAAAGAAGTTTTATCGTTTAATATGACTATTAAAAGACTAAAATTATATTATATCTTTACTTGTTGATCAATCTGAAAATCATAATTTCTTTGAATACCTATAAATATTAATTTTTACAAACACATAACATATTGTTATATCAACATCATACACAATTATAGAGGACAATAGCTATACAAAACTGAACAAATATGCACACCTACCTACAATGCACACATTGATAGCATATTTAAAAGAAAAAGGTTAACCAATGAAATGAAGTTCTAAAAGATCAATCACAAGAAAAGAATTATTCTGAGATTAATCAACTTATACTAAATGAAAAGTAGCAGAAATATATTTAACAAAATAAAAAAGAATTCTAGAAAGTAAAGAAACGACTTCAATAGTGATCCATCAAAATATTGATAGAATAAAGAATTTTATTTATAATCTTAACTTATATGAGACAATTATCTCATAACAATTGTTTTAATAAATCATTAAGAAATAAAACATACATGCATAACTAAATATGAAGATTCAATTGAATCTTTCTTTTTTAATTTGTTTCTTCCATTAAATCTAAAAACTAAAAGATAAAATGAATGAACAGGTGTTTTGAAACCCACAAAATCAATTATAATAAACATTTTAATTCCAGCTCATATTTATGACAAAATACTGAACAATCTCTTTCCCTTCTAAAAATTACTTATGATGTTACATGATAAAAACCATATAAACATGTATTTTATTAGAAAACCACTGACCTCACACATTAACATCACAAACTTCGTTATGTATAAATAATGTCTTAACACTTATCAACAGGATACTTGATATCAAGCCAACCTGATTAGTGAAATTATTAATATCTAACTGTCCAAATTAAATTAAAGATGAGAAATTAAAATGTTGATACAGTTGGGAATTAAAATAAAGCAAAATTCCAATAATTGTGTAGAATAAATAATTAAGAAACTTGATAACATAAAAATAGCTGTCCTTTAAATTTCATTGATTAGTTCAAGCGAAAGTATAACTTAACATTAATTACACGTCATATATATATAAAAGAGATTTATTGCATCTTGTTGTTAGGGGAAATGTCAGAACTATTAAACATCGCGAGACAAATTTCACTTTTATAAATGGAAAAAACAACACTGATAATCAAACAGAAACTTAGCAATAATGGATAAGTACTTACCAATAATGGATGTTAAAGCATATACTTTCTAGGTATTCTTTATCCAAGAGTCACATTGATATAAATCACAAAATACAATCCCTATTTGTTACACTCCATAAATGACGATTAACGAGAGAAACCTACCAACGAAACTGATAAAGCCTCAACATACCTGGCCACCGTTTACTCTTCCACTGCCTCATAAACACTGGGTATCTAGATATGTTCCAAAATGGAAGACAAGTAGACAGATACTTATGGTGGCTGTGGCATTTATACACAACAATGTACTTTGTTTATTCAAATAAAGTCTTGTAATTAATAACATAAAATTTCTTAATTTTTTCTTTAAGTTACACATTCCTTCTTTATTTTTACTAAAACTAAAATAATTATTCACTGTCCTGCTTTTAATCATCTCTCCACAAATTAAAAGTTTCCAGTTCTTCCTTCCTTTCAATTGTAACTTCAAGATGTGTTTAGGCATTAAACAAACTATGAGACAAAAAAAAATATATATAGTCATTTTACTATGCTAGTATTTTTGTTTCTTGTTCTTGGTATGTTCCATTTGATGCAGGTATCAAGAGAAATAATAAATAAATAGTTTGGTTTAGCAATAATGTCACTGTTAATAAAGTTAGATAATTATTTTTCCCATAGTTTATGAAATGTCTAAATGCACGTTAGAACTAACATGATAAGCTAACTTAAAACAAAATTTTGATGGGGAATTAACAATAAATAAAAACTGAGTTCTATGCTCTTTATTTATGATATATTATTAATCAACATTACTGTAATAAATATAATTTAACATAATTAACACGTTTAACATTTGACAAACCATTTGAGTAGTATTAAATTTTAGAGAAAAGTCTGTTAAATAAAAGTTCAAAACAATAAAATAATTACTAACAATAGATTACTAATTTGAAAGAATTTTGAGAAGTATGATAATTTAAAATTATTAATTTTTTTGGACAATTGATATTCCATAACTCAGTGATAATTACAATTACTTAAAACACAAATTTAATATCCTAAAAATATTTATTTAAAAATTCACAACAAACATTAACACTTAGTGCTATATAAAATATTGACAATTATTGTATCTAACAGTACATTATGTAACTATACAAATAAAACAATCTTTATTTTTTAACAGATTCTTAATGTTATTAAATTGTTTCAGAAACACTAAAATTAATATATCACTCAAATGCTTTTGGTTCACATTAGGGTTATAAATATTAAATATTACAAACATAAAATTTTAACATGCAATTCCTAAAGACAAGCTAGTAGAACTAACAACTTATAACAAATAAATTTTGATGGCGAAATCATCAATTTTAAATTGAATGAAAAGCTTGTATAAAGGATCTCAAGTTAATTTGAAAATGTTCTCATCATTATTTTAAATTGGTACAATACAATTTATAAAATGAAGTTTTTTAATTTTTTTTATATTTTTTTATTTTTTAATTCGGAAAAATCGGTATGTTACTTTGTTAGTTCATAAGAATATAATCTGAAAAATAGCATGCAATGTTTGAAATATACATGCTTCATATTTTCATTTGATAAATGGCCGTAAAGTTATTTAAGTATCTAATTGCTTTTTATTCCTACTACTACCAAAGTTAGTTGAAAATCTTTAGTTACAAAAATATAAATTTTAAAACCTAATATTTTTCATGCAGGCTTTATGCTACAATGACTAGTTTAAACATTTTTTCAAGACCATTTGTCATCTAAACTATTAGTCGAGGAGCTCCTTCTTTCTGCTCCCGGAGCAGCACTCCCACGGAATGGACTCCTCTGTCTTCTGTTAAGTTCTACAAATTAACAATGAAGTAAATGAAAAATTGAATTAGAATAAACTAAAATCATTAGCACCAAGGAGTTGTTTAATATCTTATTATAATTTTACATTTCTAATAAAAACATGAATCAAAAATAAAATTTACAATAAAGACCCTTTTAGTACACTTAAAAAGCCATCTACATTTAACTTCTTTTTTCTTAACTTAAAAAGTTAATTACAATACTTTTCAAAAAATAAATGTAATTGTACTATTAAATGTAACTTTCAATTTCTTCTAGAAGAAAAGTAAAAAGTAATCTATAGCCAACAAAATTAGTTTTTTTCAAATTTCATTATTCTCTTGATAACTTTTCCTTATTAATAAAATGTTCAGCAACTATAGATATAAATGCTTCATTCGAATTTTCTATCATATAGCATTTATAATAAAGTTCATTACGATTAAGGGTCCATTGTGTAAGTGTAATCATTTAATAATAATAATACTTTATTTAAAATAGAAAACTGAGATAATAGAAGAAAGATTAAAACAACTTACCAGCAATACTTAGCAAAATTTTACGTCTTGCCCCAAATGCCGTTATTCCAATTTCTTTCAAATCTGAGTCAGTCAAAGTTCTAAATGTCGTTATGTCAATTTCATTTGATTGAAATAATCCTAATAAGAAAATAAAAAGAAATGTCAGTTTGATAAGATAGATCATTCTATACATAATAAATCACCTAAGTTATAGTTCCATCTTTAGACCATGCTTTCTTAGTTACAATTTGTAAGAGATGGTAAGGTGAGAGAACAATGAAATGAAATCATCAAATATGCCAAGTAAAATAGAAGAGCATATTTGTCAAAAGAAAAGAATATCACAAGATTATTAGGGAGTCAAAGTAGGTTTAGGTGCAAAAAAAAATCTGAGATCAGTTAATGCTTATTGCATTTACAACCATACATGACTTAAAAGAAAAATGAATGGTTTTCAACAAGTTATTTTCGGAATATCTGGATACACCATTTCATAGCACTATGCCAAGATGAAGTGACTTGTAATGAAGAGCACTATAAATTCTATCCTGCTTCATTGATATATTATTATTATTTAATGGTTTCACCTCCTTCAGCTCAATCTCTAATGACTTGTAGTACGAATTGTTATTTTTTTTTTTTTTAAAGGGTCTTTGAGAAATAATGAACAGATTTCATTTAGCTATATTTCCATAACTGACAGAGATACAAAGTTGCAACCAAGTTGCTTGTATTTGACTTTTTTTTTATGTTCTTTCCTACCTCGCCTTATAGGCTATACGATATTTTCCCGGCCTGGAGGATGAGGTCGGGGAATTTAAAATCCCATCTGGCAGTGGGACGCGAACTGGTACTTTTTTTAATCTCATAACTTGGGTTATCTGGTTGCCGGGCAACTCACAGTGCTGTGCACTCACGTTAGTCCATTCAGCCACTCCCTTCCCCCCCACCTCAGCTCCCCCCCACATATTTGACTGAAATAGAAATGTTTTCCCTCTCCTACAGGTATCCAATATGATCACTACTAGCATGACCACATCTAAGTTATAGGAAAATCAGTCTCAAACATGTTACAGCACATCACATTTAACTAATCCACTGAGTGCAATCGATCCTGAAACACAGTTTCGTTAAAACATATTCCAGCCGATTCTCCATATTGGAACAAAACAAAGTAATGTGAGTAAGTTACAGTTTCTTAACAATATTTTTCAAGATAACTTTGTACTGTGGCAGTATGGTTAGGGAATTAAAAAGAAAAAGGACCTCCGACCCAAATTTTTTTCACCATATAGAAATTTGAAAATATGCTCTTTATAATAGCATGACTATTTCTGCCCAGTTGCTTGTATACAGTGAAACAAAGCTTCATAATTAGTTCATTCATTTTTAATATTATATTTGAATGTGATACAATTCATAAAATAATATTAGCAATAATACTAAAATAATATTAGCTTGCTTTAACACAGGTAACTATTCTGCATAAATAATTGTTAAAATAATTTATTTTATTGATAAATTTTCTCTTACTTGAGTACTTTTCCAGACCTATGACAGCTAACAGAGTGTGGAGATCCTTAAAGCTAGAATTGGATAAATTAGACAGAGTGGTAGAAGATACAGAGTCAAAATAATTAGAAGATGAAAATGCCATATCTGGAGAACAAGAGTTACTAGAACTCAAATCTAGTCCGTAGTGACTGGAAGGATACCAATTACTTTTCTCAACCTAAAAAATAATACCAGTTGATTATAATTAATATAATCTCAAGTCAGGATATGATGATGTATATTACTAACAAGTAAACATTTTTAATCAAACCTGAGTAAGTTTTTCTTCTTCTAGGTTTTTTTGATCACTGAGGGTATAATTAGGATTGGATTGGCTGAATCCATAACCAGACCATATAGAATTTGGATTCCTAATGTCACTTGGTCTTGGAGGCCTTTGCATAGCTAAAAAAATAATAATATAAATTTTAAAAAATAATTTAATCTAAAAACGTTAATAATAAGTTCTTAAAAACTTTAATTACCTTGCAATGCTTGTATTTTCATCTTCTGAAATTCTTCTGGAGTAAGAAGAGGTCTATCAAAGCCAGGAGCTTTCGTCTCTGTGTTGCTGTTGCTAAACGTTGCTACAGAAAATTTATAGATGAAAAAATTTTAATATTTCTTTGGATTGGTTAATATAACAAAAGATAATGCAAATGGAATTTTAAAAATTAAAGAAAAAGCCAATTATGTTCATTCAAAATATAATGTTTTAATAAAAATGAAGAAAGGAAAATAAAACTAACAATTTCTCTGTTACTATTTATATTTGTAAACTAATAATAACAAATTGCTCACAAAAATCTATGCAGTAAAGATATCTGTTTAAGACACAATATTTAATATCTCAAGATACTATAATAAAGATAAAACAAAGGGTCTCCAAACGAGCCCGTGATTCACATCTCCTTTTTTTTTTAAACATTGCAAAGATTATAAGATCATCCTTAACGCAATGCTCTTATCTTTTCTTTAGTTAACCAAATTTTAAATAAAAGCAAGTTCTTGCATAATATGGAACTTTACTAGATGTTTTAAGAATAAAATTGCTGAATCAACCCAAAATTTATTCATCATATTTCCTATTAATATGGATCATATTTTAAAGTTATAATCCATCACCCATTATGAAAGTTAAATTGATTATATGGCTTGAAAGTAGAAACTGTAGTAATAAGTGAAAATCATTACCCTTTAGAGTTAGCAATAACTTACTATTGATATTTATGAATAATTTATTTTTACAAAACTTTATGGTTAAAAGATTCATTAGATAGAAGAAAAAAAAACAAGAAAAAGACTGATATATTCCAATATTGTGACAATTATGAATAATTAATAAAAATAAGAGTAGATTCTAACAGATAATAGCCTGTATGAAAGGAGCTTCTTGAAAAAGTATTTAAAAGATATTTCGATTGGGAAAGAATCTATGTTCATACTTTTACAACTATATCATATCAAATTACATTTACAATGCTATGTATTCTTCACACCACAGTTTATTTTATTTCTTTATTACATTCTAGAGAAGACTCAAAATTACTTTCTGTTCTATATCGTAAGAAATTGTATATAATTCAATAGAATTTTGGAACCTTACTCGAATGTATTTGATGATGGTATGAGACAACCAAATCTTAAAAAATAAATCATGCTAAAGCATATAATTTCTATAAGTAAAGCATATAATCCCTGTAAATTTAATTATTAAATTTTCCATCATCTAAAAATATAATAAACTATAGAACATCACATCCATAAAATATAATTTTAGTAATCTACTATTATGATAGAAAAATATGTTTGGAAAAGGAATACTTGTCTTGGTTTGATCTGGTGTAGCAGCATGTGGTACAGGAGACACAGTTCGAGGGCTTGCGCTTGGGCTCGATATTGTACTAGTATTGCTACTTAGAGATGAATATACAGCTTTAAGCAAAAAATATATTCATTTAATTAATATAAATTTTTACAAAATAATATTTAAACTATTTAAAAAAGATAGCCCTATTATCATTGATAGACATACAGTTATGAATATTAATAAAGGAAGGAGATGGTCCGGGGTTGCGGTCATAAAAAGGCTAAATAGTGGTAAATCTATTTTATTGAAAGCCAACGTTTCGACCCGACTTTGCAGGTCTTCATCAGGGAGGTGTGTTCCTCTAGGAGTTTCACTTAGAACTACTAAGTGAGTTCTAATGAGTCAGTTCTAAGTGAAACTCCTAGAGGAACACACCTCCCTGATGAAGACCTGCAAAGTCGGGTCGAAACGTTGGCTTTCAATAAAATAGTTTTACCACTATTTAGCCTTTTTATGACCGCAACCCCGGACCATCTCCTTCCTTTATAATGCAACGGTCAACCATTAAATATTCAATATGAATATTAATAATTTTATACAAATTTAAAGTTAAAACAATTCCATAGTTTATAATTCAAATTAAATTTTAGAAACAAAAACTTATTTTTATCTATTTTAATAGCTAAATATTATTAAGGAATCTGTAGCCTTACCTGGGATATCTGGTAAAGATAGTGAGCTATATGAAAAATGAGCCTGAGCCAGTCGATCAAGATGTACACTATGAGGTGATAAAATAGGGGGCTGGTGATAGGAGATATGCGGAAGCAATTGGAATTGCATTACGGGATGCCAAGCTTCTGGTCGCCCAAGCATAGGAACTATCGGAGGTGGCGAAAGATTTGGGTACACGACTGAGTCATTGTTGTTGGTTCTCCCTAAAAAATAAATAAAAATGATATTTAAAATAACTTTATCAAAACTAAACAGTTTATTGACTAGCAATCATTAGCTTATCACATTAAATTTTATTTTAATCAAATTTTCATTTGAAAATACTGTACTATTATTCTATGATAATCAAATTTAAAACAATCTGAATAGAAATTTTATTTTAAGTTTATTAAGTTAACTAACACAATATTTCATGACAAAATAATTCTCCAACTGATGGTTATTTGTGAAATTTTATATTATATTTATAATTGAATAATTTCAATTAAATATCTTTAAATTACTATTTAAAAATTTTAAACTTTCATTTAAATAAAAAATATGTTTCTGAATATTGTTTTTATCTCATAAATAAATTATTTTGCAAAAATACTAACTAGTTATTTCCAAAATAACTCCTACTCTGAAATAATGTTTAAAAACTCCTGAATATTGATAATATATAATATTAGTTAGACGCAAACAAAACTTTTTGTCATTTAGTAACAGTGTATACTAATGCTAGAAAAATAATAAATAAACTAAAGGGAAGGGAAAAGTTATTAATTTCTTTAGTGAAATAATATTTTTATTGATAAAGTAAACAAATCAACTGGAAGGGAATTAAACATGTGAATTGTCTACACAAAATCAAAATAAATAATTGTTATTTGTGTCCACATTATTTGGACTTTGTAAATTAAACCCTTAGGAAATCTTCAACTCAAATCAAGTCATTAACTAAGCTAAACTAAGAAGTGAAACATAGCTATAATTTTTTTATTAAAGGCATCATTATATTACTAATTTTTCTAAATTGTTCTTTGTTTTTTTCCGAGAAGACAAGATTTGTGTCAACTATGCTTAGGATTTTATGTTTTAAATTATAATTCAATTATATAAAAATGTTTCAACTTGGGCAATTGCCAATGATTAACTGGCTTATCTGTAGCTAAATGGGGTCTCTTAAGTTAGAATAAAATGTATTTAGATGAGCTGACTGTCAAAAAAATAAACTAAAAAAAAATTGATGAAATAGTTTCAGTAAACAAACAGTAAATAAAATAAGATTCAAGTAAAACAATAAAATGAATTATTTAAAAAAAAAAATTAAAGTCATCCAATGATTTATTTCTGAAATATAGTTTCCAATATTTTTTGTCTAGATTTAAATGAAACTTGAATGAATGTATTTTATATGTTAATTAAATGAGAACATGATTAATAATTAATGAATTTTGATGAATCACAGAGCAATGATTCATAACCACTAATTTATTTTTTTTTTATTTTTGAACTTTCATTTTTCAATCGGGACCTATTAATTATAGTTAGTAGATGAGTTGACTTGACAATTAAAACTAATTTAATTTAATAAAAACTAATTTAACTTTATTCTATATATATTTTTAAATTCTAAATTCAAAAAATATAATAAAAATAAATTAAGTAAAAAAAAAAGGTCTAATAGAGAATATGGCCAGGAAATTCAGCATCAACAATCATCTAAGTGGATTGACTGTGCATCCCTAGGCTCATTGGGTCCCACATTACGTTGAGCTTTTTATATATTTACTTTATGAGAAGGAGTTAGTCGAGGGTGCGGTCAAATAAATAAAAAAATTAAAATATATAAATTATTTTAATTTTTGCCGACGTAGTTATAAATATAAATTATTTTAATTTATGCCTCTACATCACTATATTTACTTTATATTTATTAACTTTTCAGCATTAGTTTTCATATTATTTCCCACTGTAAATATTACTTAAATTGGACCTTTAGCTAATGGATTAGAGAGTTACTGTTAAAACCTTGAAATAGATCGTGAATGTATGGTAATTTATTGAAAAACAAATAATTATTAATTGATGTAGAATTATTTTTAAATAAATAACTCAACTAATAACTAATAAGAGAGACGGAATAATGCTTACATGCTGATTTGAAAATAGGTCCAGGATTAGGGATAAAATATGATAAAGGTATGTTTACTTCCACTGGATTCTCGTTTGAACTGAGAAGTTTTCTTCGTGCTTCATAAACATTGTCTAAAAAATATATACATGTGAGAGAATACTGTGGCTTATAGTTGAACATATTTATTTAAAGGTGTAAGAGGTACTTACTGACGTTTCTTTCAATTCCTTTTATAATGAATGAAAGAATGTTTTGTTTTGGTTTGTGCCTTGTAGTTATTAAAACGTCAAATTTACTCATGATTTGAGCATTTAAATCAGTATCAATATCAACTGAGTTTTCAGGTACATCAAACATTAACACTATTGGTAGAGAACCCTTGAAAAAAAAAAATAAAAATCACATTAATTGAGGAGTTTCAGTTTCTTTTTTTCACTACAAGATAATTAATTTTGTTTTCTTGCAATATTTTTTGCTACAAGTGCTTTTTCATGCAATCAAGAAAAGAAAATCTAATGATAAACGCAACTATGTTAATACTGATGAAGAATGATGGTCTTTAATTAGATATGAAAACTTACAATGAGTTGCTGGCGAGCTATGTAGACATTGTGAATGGACCCAGTTATAGTTACATTACTTTTTTTCAATGAAGGAATATTTGGGTCTGTTGGGTCAAGGAAAATAATCTGTGTAGATGTTCTTTGCATTATTCCTTTCAGGTTTTCGTTATTTCTTCCAAGAACAATACTATGGTGCTGAGGAGAAATTTCAACCATCATATGGACTGAAACCTGATTCTAACAGAAAATGTATATTAATACTTAAAATACAATTACAAATTAAATTGAATCATACTGTTTTTTTTTTTTTTTTTTGTTTTTTTTAAGCCGCTATAAAAATATTTATCTGAATGAATGCATCTCAACATGATGAAATCCATTTTTATTTTTCATGTTTGGATATAAATTAATATATTCTGGAAAAGTTATTTTATTTTTATGTTAAAAATTTTAATTGATGAATCAATAACTTCAAGATATGTACATACTTAAAAATATGTATACATTTATATCATAATTAAAGTAAAAGGATTAATTATGGTTTTCTAAATTTTCAACATTTTGTAAATGCTCAACATTTCTCAGAGATGAAAAGTTGGCTGTCAACACCTGTTTGCGAGGTAACCGTTATGAACGGGTTTAAATTCCTATATATCCATATTTAATTGTATATTATAAAGAAGTCAGGAAGACATACAAGACCCATGTGGAGGGAAGAAGACCTCGGGGAAGAATACGGATCTCTTGAAAGAACACTATCCGAGGGGCCTTCAAGAGGCATGATATGGATTAAAGTAGGGGAGAAGGACTGGTTCAAGAGCGAGACACATGGTCCAGACAAACAGCAACCCCACAAACACTGCATAGCGCTTCTTGGGGATAAATATCATGATGATGATTAACAAAGTAAATATTCCTGTTACCATATTTAATGGAATCCAATTAAATTTATGAATGTTAATAATTAAGTAGTTAAATAAAGAAATATTGGTCTTGTCAAGAGAATCAGAATTAAATATCTCATTAATATATTAAAAAAGATGAAAAACAAAAGAAATATTCTCATATATTTTTTAAATCTTTATGATGTAATAATTATTATTGTATAATAATATTATAATATTTTACATTATTGGTTTGATGTTATAAATTAATAATAAAATTTGAATCGAAACATAGAAAGTAATTATAACACAATTTTTTTATAATTATTACAAATAACTTAAATAAAAAAGTACTAGTTGGCCCATGTGAATGATTCAGACAGTATTTTGTTCAGTGATCAAATGACAAATCAATTAAAAAATACAATAATAGAATGTATCATAAGATAGAGAAATCAATTGTTACTTTCTCGCTAATTATAACCAACAAAGGAAACAAAAATTAATTTAAAACTTCATTAATGTTTTGAACCAACATTTTTACAAATTTCAATAAGCTGTATCTTTGCTAATAATTGTCCAATTTTGATGATTTTTTCTTTCTTTTGTGGAAAATTAGTAATATTTTAATAATAGTTAATAATATTTTAATAACCAAGGAGAAAGTGTGTAATTTTTGAGTTATTCCTAAATAGTTTCTTTTCTTTTATAACTTTTTTGCCTGAATTTTTGGGGTGATGGGACTATTTTTCCTGCCTGAAGGAGGGCACCTTCAAAATGGATGGCTCAATCTTGGGATTTGATGAAGAATTATCAAAGATATAGCTTACTGACAAAAAAAAAAACCCCAAAAAAACCTTTGATAAATAATATAAACTCCTCCTCTCTCAATCATTGGGACCTCAAGTCGAGGAAATGAGACACCTATCTAATAGCAGCACTACAATTGATATGGGGTTGTGTGGATGAGAACTCTTTGTCTTGCATTATCTTGAAAATTATATGTTTTTGGGCTTGGAAACGCATAGCCTGATAGTTCCCAAGGTGTACGCAACAAAATCTTCAAAGCCCAATTTTTCTCCTATCAATCTGCAGGCTTACCACCATTCCAGTATTGAAGCATAGCAAAATGTTTATATGGATTTTATTTATTGCAGAAAGAAACAAAAAGCGGAGGGTACAATTCGCTACCCCCATGAAATTCTGAATCCAGCAGTACCGCATTGATGGTATTTGAGCATGACAGGAGCTTATATTCGGTACAAAACCGATTTTGAGCCTTATTGTAATAATATACGTGGGATTTATATATAAATCTATCAGGGATATAGTTGACTGGGGATGGTTTTAGGTGCATTCAGGTAACGTGATAGTATACTGTTTTATATTCTTAATATTTACAAATCTTGTTTACTTACAGCTAGGGAGTCACACATGTGTGAAATAAGGAGCTGTGTTGCTTCCTTTACTCTAGCTACTTCCCATTCACATCCTTTTACAACCACCAAAGTTGAATTTAATTTTTGCCTTGTCCGAAACATGACCTTAAAATCGAAAAGTATTATTGTAGATGGTGATTATTTTAATAATAGTTTAACCTGAATGAAATAATATACCTGAACATTATACTGTTCTTGCAATGATTTGATGTATGGAGATGACGGATCAGGTGATAACGCCAAAGCACCAAGAATAGGCAGCTCAAAACAAAATATCAGTGGTGTTAATTCCTGAAATTAAATTTGTTATTTATATTTTCTCAATCTTTTATAAGATTTAAAGGAAGTTAAAAATCAAAATTCTCAAAGTTTTAAATAAAAGAACAGCCTCTTTGTTTTTTGAATTGATCATGTTTAACCTAAGAGAGGAGTAGCCATGAGCATTTCATTCACACAAATTTTAAATTTACAATAGCTGGTAGTTAGATAATTGTTTTATTCCTGCTTCAGTCTAGCTGATACTTAGGATCATATTGAGAGAATAATTGTGTAAAATAGATCAGTTTATATATTAAAAAAAAATAGTTTTATTGGCAAGTCACGGTTTAGTAATTGGAACAGAAATTCCTTCTATTGGGTAACATTTTTTGTCCCATGCAACAAATATATTTTGAGGCACTCTTGGTGCAATTTTTATTTTCTTGTTATCACCAGTCATGGCAAAAAAATATTGTAGTTTTAGAGAAGCTGAAGATAAAAAAGTAGTATGTAAGTTTAATTGAAGTTTTCAATTTCATTACACCAAATTTGGTTCTTTACATTTGAATTTTCTGAATTCTATTGTATACTATTACTTTATTATTTATTCTTTATTAATTTTATAAATATGATGTGTATTTTATTGAATCAAATATTTTGTGATGTATAAATAACTACAACAATAAAGGTGGCAGCAATAGTTTTAAAAATGTTAATTTTATGTAAAACCTTAGTTATTGTTTTATTTATATATTTTTTTTATTTAGTTCAACAATAATTATAAAACAGTGTGTATAGTTACCCGAATAAAATAAATTTGGAGTCAGCAATAATTCAATAAAAAACAAAAGAGATATAATGTGTTTGAATCGCTCTAGTACAGAGAAAATATAGCTGACCTCTGCCAGATTAATAAGCTAAGAAAGTTTCTCATTACTTAACCTTACCTAGGCTGTTCTAAAACAAATTAATTTTAATCCTCTTAGTATGTTTAGAAACATTTTTTAAGTTATTTTTAAATTAAGATGTTCAGTACAGCTGTATAATATTGATAATACAGTAAACACTGCCATTAATTAAATTAGGATGTTGGTATACTGTATGATCAAAAGCTCTGATATGAGTTAATAAATTTTTAAGCTCACTCGAACTCTTGCTCTAGCTTTTTCAACTCCTGCTACTTCACCTGCTATTGAAACTTGATTACTTTTTTCTGTTGGATTACTTCTATTTGAATCTGGAAAATGAATGTGGCAGCCAGTTTCCTCCATTACTCTTCTGATTGTCAGTCCCCCTTTGCCGATAATGTGGGAGTGATCAGTGTAGCTAACATCAATTTTCATATTAACACGACTGGCCTAAACAAAAATAATTTCTATCATAAATTTATTCTTATTTTATAAATTAAATCCGTCATTTTAGAAATGGATATTTTAATAGATAAAAAGTTTTATAATTTTTTTAGAAGACTTTGTATGGATTTCTGATAACAGATATATATATATATATATATATATACATTTTTTTTTTTTTTTTTTTTTTTTTTTTTTTTTTTTTTTTTTCTTCACGCCTTTGCAGAATAAGAAATGAAAATTTGGAAGTGGCCAAAGATGAATACCAGTAACTGACACAGAGATAAAGACAAAGATAAAAGTTTGTGATCTTACTCTTGTGTCAAGAGAAGCAAGAATTTTTTCTCTTGCAACTTTTACATTCTCGGCACGTCCAATAACTCTAATGTGAGGATCTGAAATTGAAAAACATAGTATATAAAATTAAAAGGATTAAGTTAAAATAATATATTTTACAGCTTTTATGGTATAGTTTTTCAGTACCTTTCTTGGATTTAGCACCAAGTTTCAGTCTAGAAGGCCAAGTAACATGGGTTTTAGTTTCTTGCATAACCTGTCAAAAAATTAATAAAGTTTAAAAACAAAGCGTACTCTAATAAAAAAGTACCTGAGAAATTTTTTTTTTACTTCAAGTACATACATGGTCAAAAAATTTTTGAGCTGCTTCAGGAACATTTTCATTTCCTGAAAGAAATTTTTAAAAATCATTAATTTGTTTTAATTTTTTCAAACAAAAAGTATGATAGAAATTACTTTTTAAAACTTTAAAATTAAATTCACGTTTTAAAAGTATTTATTTTTAGGAGTGATTAGAACTGCTTTATTTAAAACAGGACATTAAAGTTTATAAATGTGATAATTGTGCCCAAATCTACCATAGTAAAAATATAACTCTGCCAGCTGTTCAACTAAAATGGAACCGACAAGATACAAAATGGCAATTATTAATTGTAAAATAAATAAAATAAATTATAATTTTATTTATTTATCATCTCTATTTCTCAGGTTCATTTGCAGAATTTTAATTATATATTAACTAAATATAGCATATAGGAATAACTTTCTAGTTAATAAAAAATTTACTAAAGCAAACAAGCAAAGGCAAAGGGTGGTACAGAATTTACGATAATCATAGGTGACACAGTTTTAATTTTACCCCAACCTCTAGTAAAGGCAAATGAAGCATAAAGCTCAAATGAAGTATTAAAAGTAAAATTTGCATCAAGGAATATATTTTTTCCTAATCCAACTAAATTTTCTTGTAATGCTTTCAATTAGTAGCTCTGTTAATTTTAAGTATTTAAAAATCAGCATCATTATATTCATTGCAGTAATCAAAATTTGTAATTAGCTATATTTCTGTATTTATTAGCATTCTTTAATGGAATCGAAATATATTTATTATATATATATATTTTTTTTTTTAAATATATAAGTTGAAAGAATCTGAAATTACTTCTTTTTGTGAAAAAGTGATCTTTTTCAAAAGTATTCGAAGACTTAGTCAGTCTATGTATGTAAAAGTAATAAACTTTCTATCTTATATTATTCTTACATAAAGCAAAATCATGTGTAATAAACCGAATGATGGTATAAAAAATGAGGGAACCTATGGAGAATAATAAGAAAAACAAGAAGAGACTGCATAAGGAATGAAATGGTCAGAGACGACCACTTTTAAATGTGTTATTGAGGAAAACAATGGAAGATCATCAACTGCACTTATTTGAATATGTGGGTAAGACTCCCAGAGGAGAAAAAAAGTATAATGGTTCATGGAAACTAATTCAGCAGAGAAATGATAAGTAGGCAGACCCAGGACCATATACAAATGGTACCTAAAAGTACTTGGAAGACAAAGAGGAAAATCAATAACCTAGATGAAAAATTTAGCCATGCAGAGGAATGAGTGGAATGATATGGGCTCCACACAGAAAGGGGAGAGAACCAGAAGGTTTTCTTGGAAATCTGGGTGGTCAATAGCAGCAGCAATTGCCTGATACTCATTATTTCATGGTTGAGTAAAACCAAATAGAAATAAAATATAGTAAAACTCTATCAAATAGAACAATTTTTATACCTTTTACTTTAGAAAATCAACTGTGATAATCATTTTTATAATTCTTTGTTTTATTTAAAATTTCAATTAATATATTTTTTTATATTATTATAACAGATTCATTCTCATTAATAAATCCAACCATCAAATTATTTTTATTATTATTTAATGTTGATTATTATTATAAAATTAAAGCAATAAGATTTGAAATAAATCTGATCTTTTATTGATATGTGGGACTGTCATATATCATTTAGAAGTTGTATGAATTTCACTAAATAAATACTTCCAAAATAACAAAGTCCTAGAGAAATAAATTTAAATTAATGGTGTATTAATTTGTAATTACTGATTTAGTTTTCTTAGATAGCTGAAAATTTATAGAAATACATTTAATTTATTTTTTTTCCTTCACTGAGTGATGTATAAAATAAATTACTAATTCATTTTAATTTAGTGTTAAAATTATTTTATAAATGAGTCAATTGAGGATTAATCGTCTTTTTTATTAATGGATTTTTTAAAAATTTATTGAACGCATATAGTATCATGTCTGTTGCATTCCTACTTAAATACTACCAAATTTTATTTTTTAGGACAACCAGCCACCAATTGTCTACAAAACATTTTGCTATAAATCATGTATGCTTAAATGAATTTTTGAATGGAATTAATTTGCTTCCTTCCATATTTATTTATTTTTTGTCCTAGAAAACAATGAGCAATCATTGATATTTTTTAAAATTATTTCTAATTGGTTCTTTACTGTGTTATTTTCCTACGCTCTATCAGAGCTCTTTTTTAAGCATACATTATAATTTTATACCAATATATTTTTTTTGTTTTCAAACCGAAAATAAGAGCTTCCAGCCTCTTTCTGTCGACTCTAAATCTATCTTGTGAAAGTTCTGCGGAGGTTAGACCAAGTGAAGCAGCCAGTTCACTTAAATCTTCCCTACTGCCTAAAGAGCTGCCCCTTCCTGTACAGTCAGACTGACTGTCTGACATGGCCTCACTCCTGATGCTCATCTTACCACTGACTGTCTTAAATATTGGATTTGTACATTGATCTATAATCCTGATTGCAGTAATTCCATGAAATGATTTTTGTTTTTGTTGAACTTGGTCAATCATAGAGTCAGAGGGGAGGGGTGTCATAAATAAGACTGCAGTAATGCAATGAAAATTTAAAAACAATATTTGGAACATAATAGATTTAATAGAAAAACTGTTTGCTTGTTAATTTTAATTTTCTATCCAGCAGATAATTATGCACTGTTATTTAATTATTTTACAGACAGCGTAAAAACAGAAAACTTAATGTAAAAAAAGATTATAATTGTTAACTTTCTTTACCCCAAATTCAATATCTTTTGTGAAGATAAAAGAAGAATTTTTTTTGAATAATCTCCAAAAATCCTTATACATCATGAGTCTTTCGTGAATACACAACAGTAGTTATTGTTGTTGCTATTTAAATACATTTATTTTGGTAATTGTTCAATAATTTTAACTTTTCTATTGTTCAAATGAGACTTGAATAAGAAAGGCTGTGCAACATATCTGTTGATATTATAACCTTCCTTCAGTGGAACCAGTTATTTATTTATTTACAATGTATACAGTTGCCTTTCACGATAGTTTACGAAATTAACGAATGAAAAATCCAGAATGAGTGATACTCTAAAAGAGCTGAGAGAACGATCTCAAAAGAGGAAAAAACTTCTTGCCCAAACGGTAGGTAAATATTGTTTTCAGAATATTTTGGATTATTTAGTTCGGTCTGTGTGTACATTTTAGAAAATTTTTAGTTTGGTGTATCTAATGTTGCTGAATTAAGACAAGTACTGGGAACAGCTGAGGAAGAACCTGCAAAGAAAGTTCCTATATTGTCACATACACCTACTGAAATACTGAATGAAAAAGAAGAAAATGGGACTGATAGCGTTGTTTACAAAGATTCATCAACATTTCTTAAGGCAAGATATCATTTTGTTCTAACTTTGTTGTTTTGATTCATTAGAACTTAGTAATTTTTTAGTATTTAAAAATGTCATGCAAATTGCTTGTGTGCATCATTGAAGTAAGTGAACTACATTAATGTTGCACTAATTTTCAACTGTGTGGAATTACTTAATCACTCAACTCACCCATTATTCAATTAGATATTATTTAAAAACAAGAGCAGATATGATTGAAAACTCATGACTTCAATTTATTATGTTCACACCTTTAAAATAAGGATGCAGTATCATATGCCTTTGCTCACTCTAAAATCTCTTTTACAATACCTGTTTTTAGTTGATTTTCATTGACTTACAGATTAAATTTATAAAAATTTCCATTGATATATGAATATATTGTTTACAGGGAACACAGTCTTCAAATCCTCACAACGATTACTGCCAACATTTTGTTGATACTGGACAAAGGCCACAAAATTTCATAAGAGATGTTGGATTGGCTGACCGTTTTGAGGAGTATCCCAAACTCCGAGAACTAATTAAATTAAAGGTATTTTCTCATTTTTTCTATATCCTTCATTGTGTTAAATTTTACTCCATTGGATGAGTAACCAGTGGATCATAACTCTTCCCTTTCCAGAGGCCCTCATGGTTTTTATGTTTACCCATAGAACAAGTAGATAGGATTGGATTTTAGTTACCTTATTAACTTCTTTTTAAATTTTAATTTGTTTTAGGATGATTTAATTGCTCAAACAGCCACGCCACCAATGTTTCTCAAGTGTGATCTTGAAACATTCAATATAAAAGATTTAAATAATAAATTTGATGTGATACTTGTTGAACCTCCGCTTGAAGAATACCAAAGAACGATGGGAGTAACAAATATTAAACTTTGGAGTTGGGATCAAGTTAGTGATAAATAATTTTGATCTTTTCTTTCTTTATTTATTTTGTGAAAGTATTAAAAATATTAACGTTATTGAATTTTTAGGTAATGCAATTGGACATAGGTGAAGTTGCTGCCTCTAGAAGTTTTGTTTTTTTGTGGTGTGGCTCATCTGAAGGTCTTGATATGGGAAGAGCTTGTCTGCGCAAATGGGGTTTTCGTAGATGTGAAGATATTTCTTGGATCAGAACTAATATAAATAGCCCAGGACATTCTAAAAATCTTGAACCTAAAGCAATTTTTCAACGGACTAAAGTAAGTATATTTTTGTAGTATTTATTTATGGTTACAGACAATTAAACTTATTGTGTTCTTTGAAAAGTTAATTACAATAGACATTACTTAATTGGGACACAGCTTAGTATTACAGCTGTATCAGTACAAAATATTCAGATTTGACTAAGTATTGGCTATTAGAAAATTTGAACAACTCTTTTTAATCAGTTGTTTTTTTTTTTTCCTCCTTAAGGTACTATTTCGTTGGCGCGGCCAACGACAGCAACCGCTATTCCACGCTGCCAACCGCTGTTGGCGTAGCTATTTTTCTGAAACTGCTCACTGGGGTTGTTATAACCTGCGTATAACCTTCGATTATTTCGCTTTATCTTCGAAGATAAAAAAATGAACATCCTTTCTCTGACTCCGCTTTTTTATTTGAGGAGGAAGAAGAAGAAGTGGAAATGTTGTTCATAAGGAGAAGGAATATCAGTATTTCAATGAGATGCTCATCATCAAATCCCTTCTTGGACATTGTTTGTTATTGTCTAGATGAACAACCAAAAATTGAGGAACAACCAAAAAAGAACAAAAAGGCGGAAAATGCCGTATTAACAACAATAGTCCCCCTGATATTAGATATTATTAGTTTGAAAAGTAATAGTAATTATTACATGATTGATTAGTAATACATATATATTTGTAATTAAATCACAGCAGGCGTTGTTTTATCAATAGTAATCAGTAAATCCCCACTTTAATTAAAAAATAAAAATCAATTTTTTAATGAGTGGATTTTAGTATTTACCTGACGTTAAAATTTGTTGGATTCTTTTATTTATTTAATATTGTTTTGATTTAGGTATATTTGAATTTCTCCATAAAATATTGTTGGTGAAATAAATAATCTTGTTACTTCAGCCTTAAAAAAATAATTTACTATTGCATTGTCTAAGTTTTAAACAATATTTCTTATAATTTTGCCAGACTTAAAGAAACATAGGAAATAAAACGTATCAATGGGACTGTCATCATCAAAACAATGCTCTAATATGATAACATAACCTACAACCGCCCAGCTGCCAACAGCTCCACTGCTTCAGGAGCGGTCAGATAGGAGCAGCTTAGATATGACGTCATACCTAGACTGCCAAGCAGCGCCAGTGAAATAGGTTCCTTTCTATTCCACTAAAGTAGTGGTCAACCGCAAGCAGTCGCGGTCGTGGGCCGCGCCAGCGATATAGTACCTTTATCATTACACCCAGATCTGTATGTTTTCATAAATTTTAAAACAAAACATATACCATACCGGTTCGACAGTAAAAAGAAACTTTAAGTTATCCTGAAAAAGTTCTATTATCAACAACTTGGAGAATTAATGTGAAAAACATGAATGTTAAAAATCTAAGTATGAAGGAAATAATTTGAAGTATCAGATCGTCTCGAAACAAGGCGTCTGTGTATCTGGACCTCATTGAAATTTATAGTAATCAATACTGATGAGTTTGTAAAGAATCTTAACTTTAATGGATTGTTTTCTTTTATTCCAACTAGTTAAAAAAATTAAAAATTAAAATAAACAAATAGATATTTTTAAAAAATCTTTGTGGCATGTAATCTCATTGATATATACCATTATACCTATACATATACAAATATACCATTGTTTTTTTTACCTACATAATTTATAGTAGACATGAATTTGCATGATTTATGTAATGTCCATAATTACATTGCTGAAGAAAAAAATACAACTTTCTTTTTTACTTTTAGTTGTTTAATCTGCATCAACATTAATATATAGATTTAGACATAAAAGTAATTAATGTTAGTGGTTACTAAATTTATTTAAAATTTGATTCATGATGAATATTTAAATATATTCATCTTAATAATTAAGGGTAAATATTACTAAAACATTTTTATTTTTAAAAGGAGCATTGCTTGATGGGAATCAAAGGAACTGTACGCCGATCTACAGATGGTGATTTTATACATGCCAATGTGGACATAGATTTAATTATTAGTGAAGAACCAGAATATGGTTCATTAGAAAAACCAGTAGAAATATTTCATATTATTGAACATTTCTGTTTAGGTAGGAGAAGGTAATATTCTAATTTTTATTTTTTATTTTTTTATTTATATATATTTTATATTAAATTAAATAGCATTTAATCTAGAGGACATTAGTTGAGGGTTTAGTGAAAATAAAAACACAAAAATACTGTTTTCTGTATGCCAACATTTTATTAGTATTGTAGTTATACATACCGGCTACGAATTGATACCTTATAACTGCCAAACAAACTGATTACAAGTTGACTTCATTAGTACATGGCACTACACACCACTAAGTGGTGGCATCTTGAATTTATAATTGAATTTGATGAATTTGATTTATAATTGAAATGAAGCAGTGTTTCCACCATATTTTTTTTAATTTCCCTTACAGTCAATCAGATTTTCCCTTCCAGTGTATAATGTATACAAAATAATACGTAATTTTGTATTTAATTCGTTTTATGTTTGTTTTACTTACATAATTAAAAATATATATTAAACTATGCTCATATTAAGCTTTGATTGATAAAAATTGTTTCCATTTTCCCCCCTCCCAACCTTAGAATTTCTATAAAAAGACATCTTTTTCACCAATGTGGAAATTCTGAATGTTAAATTAAATCTCTGGGCCTGAATGTTAAAATTCCATGACCATAGTCATGTACAGTAGAAACATCCTGAGGTCTGCTGGAGATTTAAAGATAAAATAAAATTACTCTATTCCTTCCTAACTTGAGCTCTCAAGAGCATTATGTGCATCGAACTCAGTCTCCTTCATTTAGATTCATCTGGTGACCAGTTGTGGCAAGCTTAAAGTCTTAATTATTCAAGCTCAGGCAATCAGTTAGTTTTGGGGTTATTGATTTAATATTTAGATGAATTGAAAATATGTTTGTTGATCTACCATCTTTTTTTAAGATGGCTCATGGCAGGTTGATATTACTTAAAATCTTGTTAAGACTTTTGTTATAAATTAGTAACAAAAGACAAAAAATAAATGCTAGGTTATTATTGGAAAAATTTCAAACCATATAGCCTTATGTCCTCAAACTACAGGCAAAGAAACATCTTCCAACGTTCCGCCAATTCAAATGTCATCAGGACAGAAAAACAGCTAATCGAAGATCACTCCATGAAATCCAATTGCATACTGAAAGGAAGGTAAGACAAGACAGCAAGGGAACAGTGTTGCCGTGCGCTCTGTGACAAATCCTGGTACATCTTCATGTGCTTGCTCATTGAAAATTCGTATAATTGTAGGCTCAATGTTATTGTTTTTGTTTTTTTTAAATTAAATTAGATCATTTACTTATTATCTCTATTCATATATTGTAAAGCCTTTTTGCATTGTTTTTGTTTAAGTTAATGGGTCAAGAAGTAAAATGAGTTTAATTTAAGGCACAACATTAAATATATAAAAAAGTGCATACATTTTTAGAAACTATTGGAAAACTTTCTATAAAAATTAAAATGGTAAAATAAACTTTTTAAAGGACACAATATTCCTATCATTATGAAAAATAAATGGAAAACATATGACTTCATCTATTATGACATATAATTGAAATTAATAAATATTCATTTTTTATTATTAAATTTTTGTTTTTATTTTGGTTACTTAGAACTATTTAAATGAATTATATAAAATTATAGTTTCATGAAGGATATACTTTCTTATATTTTATTTTATACTCGATAAAAATCTAAAATATTTTTATAAAATGATGGTGTAATTTTTTTTTTATTTTGTTCTCTAGAAAATTAAAAAAAAAAACATATATATACAATCATGGTTTTATGAAGGAAATAATAATCATAGTCTAATTAATGAAGATATAATTGCAATTTATTTGTTCATAAAGCAACAGAAGTTTTGTATTTCATAAATATAAATAATAGTACAGTTACACGCGTAGTTTAATGTACATACTATTATAAAATATAAGGTAAAAACTATGTATATTTATTAAAAACGAACCATAAGTTGGATATAAAAGCAACGCATGCTGTTTGCTGCTGCTGTGCAAAATATTTTACGATACCGTTTCAATGTTGAAGATTTTCAAATATCAAACGTGGTAAGGCATTGAAATTACGCTTTACCATTTACCATAGTGTTCATTTCATGTGCATTAGAGCTGGCTTCCACCTTCCTCAAAAGATTTCGCATATCACTCTTTTAAGATATTTGATTGCTTGCTTCTTCTTAGTAACAATTTGATTAAATATAGCGCTATAAAAATTGTAGTGGAAAAATAAACCTTACTCATGTAAGAAACCATAAGGTAAACAGCCTTATTCCAATGTAATATCAAAGAAAATAATTTATTAAAAAATAAAATAAACTGAAATCAATAAAAAACGGATTTCTAAAAGGAACATAAACGGTGATAATTATTATTCAAGGATTAAATATTTTTAATTAATAGCATATGAAATATTTGAGATGTATTATACTACTTCCTGAATATATTGGGGAAAAAATATAAATATGAATATAAAGAGCGCATAATATTATTGACCTACATAAGGAGAATCATATCACTTCTTCAAATGATAACCGCAATTATAAAATTTTGATTAATCAATAACAAAAAAAAAGGACAATGGCCTTTGCCGAAGAGAAAGTAGTAAGTGTCTAAAACTATAACTCTGCAATAAATCATCCAATTTCAATATTTTTTTTTTTATTTTGTAGGGAATTCAAAAAGCTTTCAAATAAATATGGGTATTATCAATAAAAAAATGTGTACTTTTTTAGGTGTTCACAAATAAAATTCTGATTTCATCGTGACATTTTTTGTAGCTTGTTTTCGGGAAATCATATATACATAAACTAAAAGAGTTTCAAGGGAAAGACTAGCTAAGTTTCATTAAAATTGTTACTGCCGTTTTGGCGCTACCACGTATAGCGACACATTTTTCGACCATCATTTTAAAAAATCATGGTAATGAAATGTTCAAAAAAACACTCCTGAATTCGATTGCAACAATGTGTCAAAATTTCAAAGCATTGGTGAAGAACTTTTGCGGTTTTGAACAAAAAACCATTTACATTTCTATTTTTTTGGCACATATAAAATTATCGAGGACAGAACTACTATGCCAGAACTTTGCGGGAGTGTACACATCAACTTTCCAAAGTTTCATGGCGATCGGATGAATTGTTTAGTAATGCATAAAGTCCAAACACACATGCATTCATTTTTATATATAGAGATTTATGTTCTTTGATCAGATATGGCATAATTTTTATTAGTCCTTTGTTTTTCTTATCAGCTGTTTGATTGTAGCCTTCCCTTGCTGTGTTGTCTTACCTTCCTTTCAGTATGCAATTGGATTTAATGGAGTGATGTTCGATTAGCTGTTCTTCTGTCCTGATGATGGCGAAAAATGACTAAACGGAGAGTTTTTGTTTGCTTGCAGTTTAGAGACATAAGGCTGTGTGGTTTGGAATTTTTCCAATAATAACCTAACTTTTTAAGATTTTATTTTTTAAAAAAAAGTTCACATCAATATTAATTTAGAATTTGTATCATGAAAAGCAGCCAAGGATATCAGACTCGAATTTTGAATTATTATATTATTTATAAGATAGCTCTACAATTTTTTATCCGCCTCAGTTTAGTAGGTTTAAATAATAGCAAAATAGTT